TTTTCCCCCCATGTATTAAATGAAAGCTTCATATTCTTCAACTCTGTAGGTCTTCTGGTGGTTAAAAGGATAAAGCAGGAGTGTTAAATGTGGCATGCTGCCTCTCTGGGGACTGAGACACAACACCACAGAGGAGGAGGGACATATTCCAACCCCATTTCCAAAGCCACTGTGCGCACCCTGCCCATCCAGACATGCACTACAGAGGAGATGCAGAAAGGGCATCGGTACCGCTCTGCTCGGTGAGGAGGGGACCACAGACTGGGCAGATGGACAGAACAAGGCCTTGCATGTCAAGGGAAGCATGTTTGTAAAGGCATGAGAGAGGAAGAAAAATGGCAGTAATTACCAATAGCTCACGCCAAAGCCCTCAGAAGAGCAGATCTCAGGAGCTGCTGATACCTGTGGGAGTGATCCCCAGAGAGGTCAGACTTCAGAGGACATCTCTACTTGCCCACTTTTCACTGGAAAATTCTGAACTCTGCTGTCTGCACCAAAGAAGGATGTCAACATTTTACTTATAATTTCTTCTGAATTCAAAAAGAGAATTTAGCCTAATTTTCTGAAGTGCAATCATTTGCGTATTGGCATCAGGTTGCCCCTGAACCATTCAATAAACTTGTTCTTCCCCAGAGCTGCTGTTTGGTGATGGATTTATGTTGTCTCTTAAGCCCCACCACAAATCTCATCACAAGCCTCGTCTCATGCACCTATATCTTCTCATCCTGCTTGGTTTTGCTCAAACAGCCCTGCCATCACGTCACTTACATTGCTTGAAGGTATCAGTGTAATTGTCTTGGCAGTGCAATAGCCAGCCAATTCCCTTAAAAACAGATTCTGGTACATTACTAAGTCTTACAGTTACAGTAAGTAACTTACAGTAAGTAACATTACTAAGTCTTACAGGACTGGGGCCGGTCCTCTTTAACATCTTCATCAATGATCTGGATGACGGCATTGAGTGCACCCTCAGTAAGTTTGCAGATGACACCAAGCTAGGTGCGTGTGTCGATCTGCTCGAGGGTAGGAAGGCTCTGCAGGAGGATCTGGATAGGCTGCACCGATGGGCTGAGGTCAACTGTATGAAGTTCAACAAGGCCAAGTGCCGGGTCCTGCACCTGGGGCGCAATAACCCCAAGCAGAGCTACAGGCTGGGAGAGGAATGGTTGGAGAGCTGCCAGGCAGAGAAGGACCTGGGAGTGATGGTGGACAGTCAGCTGAATATGAGCCAGCAGTGTGCTCAGGTGGCCAAGAAGGCCAACGGCATCCTGGCTTGTATCAGAAACACTGTGACCAGCAGGGCTAGGGAGGTGATCGTCCCCCTGTACTCGGCTCTGGTGAGGCCGCACCTCGAGTACTGTGTTCAGTTTTGGGCCCCTCGCTACAAGAAGGACATCGAGGTGCTTGAGCGGGTCCAAAGAAGGGCGACGAAGCTGGTGAGGGGCCTGGAGAGCAAGTCCTATGAGGAGCGGCTGAAGGAGCTGGGCTTGTTCAGCCTAGAGAAGAGGAGGCTCAGGGGTGACCTTATTGCTCTGTATAAGTACATTAAAGGAGGCTGCAGAGAGGTGGGGGTTGGCCTGTTCTCCCATGTGCCTGGTGACAGGACGAGGGGGAATGGGCTAAAGTTACGCCAGGGGAGTTTTAGGTTAGATGTTAGGAAGAATTTCTTTACTGAAAGGGTTGTTAGGCACTGGAACGGGCTGCCCAGGGAGGTGGTGGAGTCACCATCCCTGGAAGTCTTCAAAAGACATTTAGATGTAGAGCTTAGGGATATGGTTTAGTGGGGACTGTTAGTGTTAGGTTAGAGGTTGGACTCGATGATCTTGAGGTCTCTTCCAACCTAGAAATTCTGTGATTCTGTGATTCTGTGATACAGTTGCCCAAGTTTCATTCATTAAAGTTTTGTGCTTTTGTTTCAATTACAGCATATATGATAAACTAAAAATCCCAGCCTCTCTAAAACGGTTTTGAGTCCATGTGGTTCCACGAACCAGTTTCAATTACAGACTGAAAAATACAAGACAAAGAGCTAAAAAAACACAGCCAACAAGCTCCTAATGACATTTAAGCTCCTTGCATTATTCTTACAGGTGGACAAAAGCAATTCTTGCTTACTGAGTGTTTGAGACTTGCCAAACTGGGCATACGAAGTACTGATTTTCATGTGAGAGATGAATCTGGTAAAACATTGACCAGATTATGCTAGTTAGCATTCACATCCACGTTTGCTGGGCTAAGCGTATAAGGTCAGAATACAATCTGTACATCGTTGGTTAGGATCTTGAAAAGACTGCTGCAATACTGCTGATAGCCCACGGCTTCAGGGGTACTGAATGAGCACACAAAGTGGCACAGCCACAGGCTGCAGTCATGGAAAGAAACATTACAGGCCTTACGCATCGTGCTTATGAACCATCATATACAATCACCTAGACATACCAAGAAGAGTCCATCTGTTGTGCACTTTATAAACTAAGACATCATTCCTGTCCTGACCAACCTACTTATAATTAGACAAAATAGCGAGGGGAAGCGACTCATTCAATGCTGCTCATCTGATCATTGACAGAAAGGGAACAACACATAAATCTCACCAGCCATCCCAGCACTATGGATCCTCCTCTATGCAGACATGCAGGAAAGCAAAGGGGGCCACCCGCAACTAGCCCTAGCAGAAGGGTGCTGGGAAGCAATCGTGTTCTTGGAAGTGCCCAGAGGTGGCTGCCAATACCCACCTCACTGATATGCTTTGAAAGGTCTGCCAGATTCTTGAGAAAGTAAGTGAAAGAAAAGATAATGATTATTCCAAACAGGTTTTCTGCTTGCTGCATCCTTTTCTGGCAGGAGAATACATACACAAAATGTAGAGAAAATCTAAGCAAATCCCTTTGAAACACTGTGACAAAATATAAGAGAAACTTTAGGCTGTTATATAGTGGAATTCTTGCTGACAGACAGCTCACAGAAGCATGCTGATAGCCCAAAGAAAGGTCATAGAGCTATTAATATAGGGAGAGGCTTGGCCAAGATTCCCAGAAGCTCTCTAAAAATGTAATGTAATTTAGAAGCTCTCTAAAAATGTAATCTGTATTCAGTGATCTAAACAAATACCACAACTTTCCAAAATCACTGACAGCCTAGTACTTTCCCAGTTCATGAGCTATTTGTTCTTGTTGCAGATGCACTCAGGAGTGGAGTGAGATTTCCTTCATGATTTATTCCCAGGTCAGCACTCTACTTGGAGGATTCATTGGCCAGTAATCATTAAGAAACCAGCCAGCGTTCCGAACTCTGTAATATTTTGTTATTCAGTTTCAACTTTGTCAGAATATGTCAAAGGCTCTGTTTCTACATTTGTGACCAAGGGATCCAAATACAAGCTAGACACATGAATATATACAGCTCAGTATCTTTACTAAAATACTTTAAGGAGTATTTGAGATTCTCAGCTACATATTAAAGAGTGAAATTTTTAGATTTTTTTTTTTTTTTAACAAAGTGGTACAGATCCATGAAAATCTACCTATCATCTTTGTCTGTCTAATCAGAACCAAGCTTTGATTAACTTATTTTTAACTTACCATTCTTTGAAAATTATTTTCTCTAAGTTAATTTGGAAAATCTCCCCTGTTCTTCTACCAGCTAGGATACACGTTCACCATCCAACATCTTTTAAAAGTTTTACTATAAATCAGAAAGGGATTTTAATTATAGCCTCTACTCCAACTATTTCATTGTGCTCCTCTTTCTGTCTATATCGGGTGATCATTTCTATTACATTAAGGTTATTACTGCCTGTAGCAGCAGTTCTCTTACTGTTTTCTGTTTGTAGAGCAGGGAACACAGTGGACTCCTGGCCCACAACCTCAGATCTGACTTCCAAGAAAATCCTGCTCTGGGTCAAGATTCCACACAGTAAATTACCACCAAAAGGAGGGAAGAGAGGGTGGAAGCAAAACTAGAGGAAACTTGGAACAGCCTTTGATTATGGAAACCCGGCACAGTCTTTATCAATACCTCCAATATTGTCCTGTATGTCTTTCTATTTTTATCTTTGAGTATGGATTGCCTGTTTTGACCCATTATTGTTTGTTTATTAATGGATTTTACCTCTTCATGTGTATTTTGTTTGGCTGATACAGTGAAAGCAAGAAATCAATATCTTTATTTTCTCTGATATCTGTTTGCCTTCACAAAATCAGACTGGGAACAGATATCAACCATTTCCTCAGAAGAGACAGAGACACCAGAACATTTGGGAATCATGGTGAACAAGTCACCTAAAATACAGCCCAGACTGAAGAGGTCAAAGAGAGAATAACATGGTCATTAGAAGGAGGGATGTAAACAGTCTGAAAACAAAAGCATTACTCATCACTGTTTTGTGAGCATGATCCATATCTCCTCCGTGGATAATTTTAAGTTTCTGGAATAACGATGGTGAGAAACAGCCCCTTCATGCTGCCCTCTGAGCTCCCAGAGTAGTAACCTACTACTCACAGTGGTCTCTGCTGGGAATTCCAGTGCACCCCCAGTATTTGATAGTGCACAATACTGATAGCAACCAACTTCTTTACATAAGCATCCATGGCTCTTAGTTCTAGCAAGTACATTTTACCTTTCTGTCCAAAGTCACCATCTTTTCTCAACTGTACAGCCAGATGGAGTTATTTACATTGAGGTTAAGTCCCTCAGACTCACTGGAGAGCTCCAGTTTAGCTCAGTTAATGCTACAGTGTTGGTATGACAAGTTTCTTGTGCCCTGCTAAACAGAGAGACCAACTCTGCAAACCTTACATTCCAGATTAATCACTATGTAATAATGCAAAACATTATTGTCATTCCATTATTTTCTCCATGAGGATACAAGAGTCAAGTTCTTTTGGGCTTTAGGCAGAAATCTTAGCCGAACAATTCACTTGAAGATTCTTCCACATTCAAAGCCCTTTCACATCTTCAGGAATTTTCTGTTCTGTTTTACCGTTACGCCACTTTCTTACCTTGAGCTGTGCGCTGTGTGGTCTGTTGCTGTGCTGCACAGGGCATTCTTTGACCTCTGCGTCCCCTGGTGTCAGGAAGACTCTTAATTGGAATTCATCAAAATGGTTCCTGAACATTCCCCTGAAGCCATGCCAGAGGCTTCCTTAGCAGAACCAGACCCTGCAGGTCACAAGAACACAAGAAAAAGAAGACACTTGATTAGATTACAAAGCAGAAAATTCAAAGCTGATTAAAATTTTTCCCCAACAGCTTTTATTTTGACCAACTGAATTTGTAACCACGGGAAGTCACCATGACTCCAGAAAAGACTGGGCAGTCTTACAGACAGGAAAAATATCCAGAGTAATTAGCATTCAACAAGCACTCTGGACAGGTATTAACATTTCTGGGATTAAGCCAACTGTAGGCTGCTCAAGCTCCCAATAAACTGCAGATTCTTCCTACATCTTCCTATTGCACAGTTCCTCTGCCTTCCTCTTAAGAATCAGTTGAGACTACTACTAGGGATTGTAGACCAGAGAAACCATGAGCCTGCCCACTCTTACAAGCCCAATGTTCCTAATTCCATGGGTTTAGCGTTAGAGTGAGAAAACTGAGCCCATATCTGTGGCCTATAATTCTAATCGTAGCCATTGCTACCAGAGATCATATAGCGAATAATTTGTACGTGGTCTATCTTGCCATGTCTAACTACCTGTTGTGTACATAGTTCAATATGCACTCAGTTAGTTTGATATGCAACTTGCCTGTAGCTAACTTAGGTCCATTTTGTCTCTCTTATTTTATGCAGACTTCATTTTTAAATCATTGTCTTTCAACCACAAGAGTTTTCCATCTCCATTTCACTGTACAAAAGGATTTGTATTGTTTCAGGTTCTGCTTTCCCTTTTCAATATTTAAGGATAGTTTTTCCTATAAAAACGTTTATGTTTACATCCCAGAGGTTCAGTGACATTAAGTGAAATATGCCCATTTACGTGCCCTGTGTCATGTTCACCTGACTGGCTCAGGACAGCCTGGTCATAATCATTTTTCTCGGAGCTTGATTTGCCTTCTGCATCCAACACTGTCAATCAGAAATTTGAAGTCAAAGAGTTACACTCGTGTAAACAGTGTGTAAGTGAAACTGGAATCAAGCACTGACTTTTAAGATAGCTGTTTTCAAGTCCATTGCTGCAGCTACCCCAGAGGAGACTCCCAGCACACTGTGATCATCTTGTCTGGCCTCTGATATGGGATACCCTTAGGGCTGCTCTGAATTAATTCCTGCTGCAGGTCTGGAGCTGGGGCTGAGCTAGGAGAATCTGTTGCAGAGAACCACTCGCTACCACGTATAAAGGCTCTAGTGCTGGAAAATACACTGAACCCTGGCTAAAATATTTTGACAGGTGATTACCTGCACTGTTGAAAACATGCACATTATTTCTGGTTGAATATACCTACTATCAACTTAGAGCTGCTGGAGCTTCAGATCTGTGTACACTGGGCTGCAGAGCCTTCACTAGCAAACCTTACACTCTTCATCTTGGCATTTATAAACTGTAATACTGCTAATCTTGTTTCTATTGAGAAACAACACTCTTTACAAAAAATGTGTATTTAGATTTCATATCTCAGGGTGGGCCTCTTTATAAAAAGACACTCAACTCTTATACAAGCACCTTCCCATCAGCAACCAGGAATACTTCTGTTCTGTGGGATTTTAACCAACCTCACAGGTTTTCTTGATTAAGTTTTGCCTGCTTGCCTGACTTCTACAAAGAAAAATCTCTGCTCAGGAATTATTGCCACCATTGCCAGTTTTTATGTGTCAGTTCCTGTATACATTTTTGTTTGCAGTCTTATCAAGCTACAACAAAAGGCTGGTCCTCACCCCAAATAACTTATGCTTTAGAACCCTACGTCAAATATAGCTACATTCATGCATTTCCTCCTTAAACCAGCTATCTCAAGTCACGACTGTCATTCTGGATCCTCTCAACTCCAACAGGAGTATTTCTGGATTTGATCCCTTGTACCACAGATGACTCTCAGCTTTATTTACCTGAGTAACTGCAATGGAAACCTATTGTAAAAATCTTCGGAAAGAGCTGCCTGCACCATTTCCATGGAATGATCACATCCAGAGAAGGAAAATTGAAGTGTTTGAAAATAAGTCTTCCCTTTACCCACGATGTGTTTGCATGGCTCTTTTCCTCTATATTTGCTCTTAGTACAGTAACATTAACAGGCTTTCTAATTTGCAGGAAACTCAGGGACCCTACAAAAAGTCCTTTTCTTAAATGCTCTGCAGTTTGCCTGTACCATCTTCCTGCTTCCTACACCTCTCTCTGCCTGCTCCAGCTCCGCACTAGAGCTAGTCGGCACCTGGATTGTGCTGGCCAGAAACCGAATCCATAAGCCAGAGTCACGGCATTTTAATGACAATGTAATTACAATACAATTTTACTGATATCAATAAGTCCTTCATTGTCCCTACCTTTGAAAACACGAGACTGTCAAAGCCACATGTGGGACGGGGCACCCCTCTGAGAGCCATGCTGACCCAAACCACTGGTGCTGCTCTGTAAGACGTGACTCCTCCTTGGGCAGCCCTGACTAGCAGCCACTGACACCTTGTGAGATGCTGGGCAGCACACAGCACCTGGTGCATCCGTAAGCATTTTGAAGGTTAACAGGATCTTCCCTAGCTTCCCACCCACTCAGTTGTGAGAGGGAAGTAGGGCAATACACAGGGAGGCTCGTGGCTGAGCCTGCGACACCACACAACTACTTGCTTTTGCTGCTGTTTTTTTTCCCAAGCTACCGTGCAAACTGTGGAAAAGCAGCATCCTGACTCCTGTCACAAGAGAAGGAGCATTCCCTGCCTCCCCCCTTCTTCTCCCCATCCCTCTTGTGCATTACCAATGCACTGAGTTGGACTGGAGGGAGCCAAGGAGGAATGGGATTTAACCTCTCTCTCTCTCTTGTTTTATTTTTTAAACAACCTCCTCCTCCACCTCCTCTTTCTTCTACTCCTCCTCTTCTTCATCCTCCCACCCACCCCCACCCTGTCCATCTCCCCTCATCCCACTCACACACCACTCCCCCCCTTTACCGGTATCCAACACTGTCAACCCAAACACATGATAAATTGCCCTGTCAACAGAATTCATTCAGGGACCAATTAATTCCACAGAAATGAACCAGGAGCCATCAGTTGCTGAAAAACTCCAAGTGCAGGGAGCGAGGAAGCTAGCTTTGTGAGTGAGAGAGAGAGAGAGAGAGAGGCTTGGGAAGTTAGTCTGACAGAAATTGGTCATTTAATGCTTAAGTGCACCGTAGACAGCCCTGTCATAGCAGCCGGCATGGCAAAAACTCCCCCAGTGCTTTATTTATTAATTATGTGGAGCAGCACGGGGGTCACTTCACTGTCTCGATACAGACTCATCAACTTTACTTCTTGTCACTGGCGGAGATCCCACAGCATGTGGGCCGGAGGGCCAGGCTGCATCCCACTCCTGTCTCCTGCCCCCCGCCACCAGCGAGGCCAGAAGCAAGTTTGCAGGAGCGACACCCGCGCCCTCGGGGAGAGCGGGCCAGGGCAGGTGGGGAAAGGAGAGCAGGCAGAAGGGGAGGCAAAGCGTCATCCTGCCGCCGCCCAGCTCCAGAGCAGGGGTGGTGGGAGCCTGGAGATTTCATTTGCAAAGCTTCCTCATTATCCTCCTTCAAATTCTCCTTAGCCGTGATGCCTGCAAAGATCTGACAGCAGTTAGGCTGCTGATGTATTATGAGCACTGCCCATCCTGCTGATCAATAGCAGCTCATGGCTCCGCACCATATTCCCTCAGCTGTCCATACCATCCGTTGCTTCTCAACTCGCAGTTGCGAGCTCTCTGAGGGCAGGACCGTCTTCCTGCCCTGGGATCGTACAGCACCAGGCAATGCCCGGTCCCCTGAGTTCTCAGAAACACTCCTTGAAGTGCTCTGTAGTAACAGAAATGCCAATTCTATCTCTTTGCAGAATCACAGAAATTAAGGCTGGAATGGACCACAGGAGATCCTCAAGACTGTGCCCCTGCCAAGGCAGGATCAACCACAGTTAAACCATTTCTAAACCTTTTTGTCTGACCCGTTTTTAAAAACAATACTGAAGGTTACACAACCTCCCAAAGCAACCCACCCCAGTATTCCACTGCCCTTCCCCGTGCCCCTGTCCACCCTGCTGTGGCTTTAAGACTTGAAAACATTCACTTTCCCCAGAGGAAAAAAAAAAAAATGAAGCCAGGCCCTGAGATATATCTCCACCTTTGAGCAAGAGACAGAAGTATGTCCCTACCATATGGCAGAGATGTACAGATGATGCATGTACTGCTTTTCACATTCTCTTGCTGGTTAGAAAACAGATGCCTTCTGGTCTAATTCAATATAACATGCATTTTCCAGTTGGGTTACCAGAACCAAAACTTCTCCATATAAAAGCTCAAAAAATGCAAAGATATCCTGAGTGTGGCTATATGGCACTGTGCTGCTGATACACGTGGCCCAGAGAGGAAGAAACTCTCTTTCTCCACATGTGATTACCAGTGCCCAGCGAAGAGCCGCAGTGGCTGAACACTTCCAGTCCAGGTATTATCTACTCCAGCATGAGTAAATAACATAGGTGCATGTGCCACAGAGCTCTATGTCAAAGTTTTGGATTCCTGGCCTGGATTTTCCCAGCTTTTGGGAGTGTTCAAACACGGGGCATTAGCATGTTTCTTTTGCAGATGTCTCTCTGTAAGCACGTCTGTCGCTCCACTCAAACACTGCAGTGATTCTAAAAGTAACCATAATAACATGTAAACATCTTAAATGTTCCTGCTTGGGGCCAGAAATAATCTAGACCTTCACAGAGAAGGTCTTAGGAGGACGTAAGTACAACAAGGTCAGAAAATTTACTTTTGTCTTGGGATAGATGGCTACTTATCTCTCCAAGCTAGAACACCACACATCAACAGTTCTCAGTCTGAAACTACTGAACCACTTCAGTATCTACTGGGGAGTTATTCGGCAGCTGATAATGATTTGGGAGGGAGAGATCTGGGGGGGCGTTCAGTGGGCACAGACCACCATCATCCACAGCTGCACATCACAGATGAAGCCCTTACCGTATAGTAGAAGCATGTCTGACAGGCAGG